CAGGTTATGTTTGTCATGCCCATTCTACTTTTGAGGCAGATCACAACCATAGACTTGCACAGGTCCCTAAGGTAATAATATATAGTGTAAATGAAAATTGCTTAAAAACATACACCAAACGCCAAAAGAAACGTTACCCTCCTACCTGTATGAAGTACTTAAAAAACTATTTAAGATATGTTAGAAGGTATAACATTACAAGAAAGATTAACAACACAGCTTTATGCAAATAAAAACATATGAAACAAAATTCTCAAATGCATTCATATTTAGGTGAAATGCATCTTTTTCAGAAGAGTTAAATTGTCCTATTTTCGTCCATGCCGAAATAAACCAATAACAGTGATTTAGATGTCCAAAGAAAGGTTGAAATAAAGTTCTGCCTTGCTACAAAGATAAACAATTTAAAGTCACCATTTTTCAAGTATTAAAAGAAGGAACAACTGTTGTAGAGTGTGTAAAATTGTAAAATAATCATTTCTATGATTGTAGTCCTTTAAAACATTTTCTGCTGATTTGCATTAGTGAAAACAAGTAAAACGTGTATTTGATATTGGGACTAAATGTTTAGGAACATGTAAAATTATCTTTGTTAACATTTTGGCTTGCAAAGTAACATTTTTCCATTTTCTGTTTACACATACCAATATCAATCGCCAATATGCAGCAATATTCAAACAGTATTTGCATCCATTTCACATGTAGAATGATTCTATAGGGTATGAAGAGAGCCTATAGATACATGATATGATACACAAGTACGAGAAATATGCCACGATTAACAGCTGAAGAGAGAGAAAGAGCCATTGGGATGGTGCAGATGGGGTCCACATCCAATACTGTTGCCAACATCCTCGGATGCCACCGTATCACGGTTATAAGATTTATTCAGGGCTTGAGACAGACTGGGGTCACCGTAGACAGACCAAGAAGTGGACGTCCACGCATCCCAACGCCAGCGGAAGATAGGTACCTCGTCATTAAGGAAGGAGGGTAAAGTTTCTTTTTGCGTTTAGTATATATAACAGACTGGCGTCCTCAGCCCTTAGCCAGACTTGCTCCTTTAGGCCCTAGGTGGCGGTTATACCCCCTTCACACCTGAGGCGGAATGAGACGGAATGCCGTCGGAATGAAAATTCATGGAGATTCCTGGAAATTCGAACTGCATTCTAAAACTTCTTACTCCATTCCGAATGCACTCCAACTATTCGTGTCAATTCTTGTAACATGCCGGAATGTTTTGAACATGTTCAAAACTTTCGAGGTACATTCGAAGTGGAAAAATATCGAACAGCATTTGAAATGTCTTCTAACTGCATTCTAAGTATTCTTACTGCATTCTAAGTATTCTGTACGTGTTCGAGGGAGAATCGGAAAGGCAAGCCACTTCAAATCCTGCAAGAATGTCCCGAACGCGCCTCGATGGGAATTTGGGTGGAATATGCTTCAAACGTATCGGAATATTTCGATTGCACTTGGAATACAGCTAGAATGTACATCGAATACACCTCGAATACAGTAAGAACGTCCCGAATGCCCTTCAAATGAGCCCTGACGTCATCAGAACACCGCCGAATCGCATAAAAACGTAGCCACCTGTCACTGAAACTTCAGATATCATTCACATCTTCAAGCTGCGCAAGTTGTTTCCAGCCTCCTGGCACCACGTTGTGCTGCTCATCTTCCTCATCCACCATACCACTGTCGAGATTAGGATAACGAGTCCTTATCAAGTTGTGTAGGCAAACACAGCATTCAATGATGTCCTCCAAACACGGAAGACCTTGGCAGCATGGTGGTGAGGAGGATGTTCCAACTCTGGGCCATGATTTCAAATGCATTTTCGACTACCCGTCGGCCCCTGCTGATCCTGTAGTTGTAGATTCTCTCGTCTCTCTGGATAGTCCTATGACCATTCGGTTTCATCAAGAAGGTCCTCATTCCAAAGGCATCATCATCCCCCAGAATAAAGCATGGCATACGCTCGTCATCTTGGGGTAAGAGGAGCTGATCATGAAATCCTATGCTCCCGTCTTCAAGACAATCCTTGAGCTCGCACTCGTTGAAGATCTGAGCATCAGACATTATTCCGTAAGCACCAACGTCCACCCACGGAACTTTAAATTTCTATCCACAAGGGCCATGGGGACCACAGAGAAGAAGCCCTTGTAGTTGTGGTACAATGGGCCGCTCTTGGCAGGTTTCCTAACGGCCGCATGTTTGCCATCTAAAGCACCTACGGCATGAGGAATATTCCATCTGTTTCTGAATACCTCTTCAATGGGTGCCCATTCTTCTGGAGTGGTAGGGCAGATGATAACCTCATCCTTGTATTCCTCCTCAATGACCTTACATACTTCTTGGATGATCAGGCTGGTTGTGTTATTCTGGAAGCATGAATACTCCACTCAGACACATTATACTGACTCCGAGCCGACCAGTCCTTGTTGTAACCCATTAATGCCGAGCGCCAGGCAGGGACCAATAAGTGCCATCTTTTAACGTCTTTTAGTATGACGCGGTCGGGGATCGAACCCGCGACCCTCCGCTCTCCGGGCGGCCGCTTTAACCACTGCACCACGGAGGCTTTCTATTAACTTTCATGATAACAGTGTTAGAACATACACCGAAACGCTGCTCCCACTTTAATAAAGACGTTGTTCATCCATATATTGTTATCCTCCCTTGAATAATTATTGATGACACCTGAATGGGGAAACGGTCTTTACTTAAAATATTCTTGTACTTTTGTTTGGTTGAGCCCCATCCAGGATTCGAACCCACATTCTAGCGATGCCTGAGTCTCAGAGTGTAGTTCGAGCCCCGGATGGGACACAAGCAAACAAACGTACTAGAACCTGTACTTTAATGAGAGAGTATAATCCCAAATAAATCATGTGTTACATTTGATCTCTTTCTAAATGGTGACCCTGAAGGTCCGGGATAGAATATTGATCTTCAGTAACCCATGCTTGTCGTAAGAGGCGACTAACGGGATCGGGTGGTCAGGCTCGCTGGCTTGGTTGGCCCATGCCATCGGTTCCCAATTGCGCAGATCGATGCTCATGCTGTTGATCACTGGATTGTCTGGTCCAGACTCGATTATTTACAGACCGACGCCATATAGCTGGTATATTGCTGAGTGCGGCGTAAAACTAAACTCACTCACTCATTTTAAATGGCATTATGTATTCACAGTTACCTGGGTGCCATGCGCAATTTATGTCAATGTTGATTATTGACTAATTAATGAATATGACATACTATTAGGGTTAACAAAGCCCATTCATCATTGACGGGATGTTAAATTGTGGTCGAATTATCTGATTTGTATTGTGCAGTTTTATGTCCGATACATGTTTCAATCTGTATCGAACAACTGCAAATTTGATCAAATCGACTGCCAGTCAAAGGGACGTAACTCCTCTCGCCTAAGGTCAGCAGTTCATCGTGGAAGTAAATTCTGAGCGCGTAAATGTATATCATATGATCTTCCAGAATTAAAATGGGATGTGAGCACACACACACATGCACGCACACGCACGCACCATGTCTGTCACAAGTCATATGCTTTCACAAGAGATGTTTGCCCATATGAATATTACGAGCTGTACACACAAGCGACCTCCCCAGCCTAAATGATTTCACAAGATAATTAATCATAGATGGATGTAACGAGAGTTCCTATGTAAGCGTCCCAGTAGAGTTCTTATATAAATGGCATGAGAGATTTTCGCTATTTATGCTATCATAACATAATTGAAATGTTGATTTGGTTGTCATGACAAGACTGATCATGTCACGACTCACAGTTGATGAGGTTGTCATGCTATAATTTATAGGGGGCGGTGGGGTAGCCTAATGGTTAAAGCGTTCGCTCGTCACGCCGAACACCCGGGTTCGATTCCCCTCATGGGTACAATGTTCGAAGCCCATTTCTGGTATCCCCCGCAGTAATATTGCTGGAATATTGCTAAAAGCGGCGTAAAACCAAACTCACTCGCTCACTCACACTATGATTTATATACCAGTAAATTCCCCAAATGATAGCATTACAAAATGGAATATCCTCTACTTTTTAAAAATAGAATATATTGATGAGACCTAGCTTGGTATGAGTAAGGCTCTATCGTTTTCACCATGCATGTTCGTGTGCAAGAGAAACCAAAATATATCCAAGTAACGGCTGGTGGATATGAAAACAATGTGTTGAGATACAAAAATGAACATGATGCAAGATGCAGCAATAATTTAGCACCATGCCAAGTAAATAGCACTGGTTCATTATATGTCCTTGAAACTGCATGTTAATATGGAAAGATAAGGAATTCAACGCAACGGAAATGATTGAATCATGCGAGCTCCTATGAATGTATATAACGAGCAAGACATTCGATCTGTTAGATCATTTAAACTGTAGTTCTTTAAAGAACGAATAAACTTTAGTTTTTTGTACTCTTTTAACCATTACATATGAAAGAAGTGTGGTTAGTCTTAAGCGGAACACCAAATTCATTCTTAAAAAAACCTTGTGGAGGGTAAGTGACATCACTGGTCTCAAGGAGAGAGCATCTACCCAGAGGAGTCACGGTTTGTGGTTCGATAACTTGTTGTTACCTTGGTATAAATAGAGATTGGTTAGCTCGGATTCAGCACAACATATGTATGATGTGTCCAGGTGGGGTGTCCATGTTAAACTGTTTCATGGCATCTCTGTGGATGTCCAATTTTAAACAGAGACACACATGCCTGCATATTGCTATTGAAGTAAATATCCTTGAGCATGACATTAAATTTTGCGTCGCCACACCCCGCCCGCCCCTCACCATCCCATCCTATCCCACCCACCCCTCACCTCACCTCACCTCACCTCACCTCTCACCTCACCTCACCTCACTCATTACTGTTGATAATTTGGTAAAACTCATTCACCCAGCCATTTGTGATATAAAATGTATGTCATTTCAGGAGAAGTTATACTGTATGTCATTTCAGGAGAAGTCTGAAAGGATGAACGACCCGAGTGTTGGTCTGTTTACTTACCCTATCCTGCAGACAGCAGACATAATCCTGTACAAGTAGGTTCTCAGATGCATCAATGCCATGCATTCACCAGAGCAGGGGACAGTAGGGTGGCCTTGTTGTTAAAGTGTTCAGTCAACATGTTGAAGGCCCAAGTTTGATTCCCTGCATGGGTACAATGTAAACTGCACATTTGTGACAACCCCACTGTGATATTGCTTAAACATATCGAAGAAAAGTCCCTCAAACATGCTACAATCTGTAATATTTCTATATATGATGTAAATATTTTGGCGAACCCCTGCTGAATCTCAGTGACAAATGATCAGTCCCCCATGTTACCTAGCCTTCCCATCCATTTCACACCTTTCTGTGAATCTTGGGGTGTTGGTGTAGCCTAGTGGTTAAAACACTCGCTTGTCACGCAAAAGACCCAGGCTCGATTCCCCACATGGGTACAACGTGTGAAGCCCATTTGTCGTGGCCCCCGCTGTGATATTGCTGGAACATTGCTAAAGCTGGTTGAAATTAAACTCACTCACTCTAAGAATCCCTGTCATCTTGAAGGAAGCATATCACTCCTCTGTCTGTCACATTTTATTATCTGCTCACTGTTTTTGTTGCCAGGGCGACTGATGTCCCAATATGAGAGGACCAAATACATCACATAGAACTGGCCAGAGATCTCGCTAAGGCTTTCAATCGAACATTCCAGGTCATATTCCCTCGACCTGAAGTTCTCTCATCAAAAGTGGATGCGTTTCATGACTCCACCCAGTATCTAAACGTGTCTAAGATGAACCACAAGAAATCAAGGTTATTGTCAGTGATGAAGAAACGTGATAAGGCAAGCTGCAAAGTGACTTCATTTGACATACCCCGATTGCCCCCAAAAGGGTTAACTTGGAATCTCCATGGGTAGGACCTTCTTGAGAGCTCAAAAATAAAACGGCGACACAATGAGCTTGGTCACAGCCCACCATATATATTCATAAATCCTCTTTTAAAGCAAAACTGGGTAAACCAGAATTCTCATATCAGTAGCTTCTGATAAAACGCTCAGACCTGTACAACCGCATCCTGTACAACCGCACCCTCCTATACAACACAATTGTCAGTTTTCCTTCTGTCTGGGCAGTGGTGTAGCATGATGGTGAATATCTCCACTCATCACAGTGAAGACCCAGGTTTGATTCCCCACATGGGTACAATGTGTGAAGCCCATTTCTGGTGTCCCCCGTCGTGATATTACTTGAATATTGCTAAAAGCAACGTAAAACCATACTCACTCACTCTGCATTATCGTCTATGTTTTCTTCTCTCCAGGTGAAGTACCAAGGATCAAGAGTCTCAGACATCCAGAAAACAAGATGAGCAAATCAGAACCGAATGCCAAAGGTCGCGTTGACCTGACACACAGTCCAGACGAGATCCGTGACATGGCAGTCACAGACTTGGCAGCAGAGTTGACCTATGACCCCAAGGAAAGGCCAGATGTGTCTAATCTGATTGACATGAACTCCTCGCTGACAGGCCTGTTGCAGGAGGAGATATGCGAGGATAACATGTTGTCGACCAAAAGTGATTACAAGGCCAAGTTGGCGGACATTGTCATTGAACAACTGGCCCCAATAAGGAGAATGTGCTGAAACTAAAGGGAGATAAGTCTCACCTTCAACAAGTGCTTAAAATGGGAATGAGAGAGCAAGGGAAATAACAGAGGAAGTGAAGAAGGCTGTAGGGTTGTCATGACAACAGCTAGGTCATATAACCACTGAACGCTATCCATGGACCAGTGATGGTTTTATCAGAGAGTGTGAAAATACGCACTTATATCACACGTATAATTCTGCTTCAGTCCAGATTTGCCAGTCAGAAGTTTTTCAAATGAACACCTCAGACTGAATGACCTCTGAAACCAATATTATTCAGCCATTGTCAGTGTACATATTAAAATAAGTGTAAATACTAGGGGTGACTATTGAGGGGGAAATAACTATTGCGATAACGATAGTCAGTTGCGACCAACTATTGCAATACTATTGCAATAGTTTTCTCTCACCTTGAATTGTCTCTGGTGAAGTAAATTCCCAAATAAATGTGGATTTGTCTGGGGACAACAGAGAGCTTGAAATTTGTTGCTTTTCTATGTACGACTGAGATGTAAAATAGGTTTGAGTGATATGGTGAAGATGTGAGGTGTGGAATAAAACCATGCAGAGCTTGCTTACCGTAGTCTGTTTGACGGTTCTCATCGTGCAAGCTACTGAATGTGCTGTGCTGCATTCATTCAATGACTGCCACATGTCCAAGTGAAGTTTTATAATGACAATGACAGTACTACCTTAAAGTACCTTAAAGAACGAATAAACGTTTGTTTTTTGTACTCTTCTAACCATTACATACGAAAGAAGCGTGGTTATGTACCTGCTTATGTATGTACACGAGTACATGCTTTACAATTTTCTGCGATTCTCCGTTGAGAAAATGTTGCGTATAGGATGTTAACTGTGTTGTAAATCGGAAAAAACGTCTGATGACATTTTGTACGTAAATATTTATGAATCCTTTATTTACAAAAGAGTGGTTTGGTTCATCGTGGCTCGCGTTGTTTGTTTGTGGTTTAACGCCGAACTCCAATATTCCAGCTATATGGCGTCAACCAAGTCGCCGAGCCTGACCACCCGATCCCGTTAGTCGATTCTAACAACAAGCATGGGTTGCTGAAGACCAATTCCAACCCAGATCTTCACGGACTGATTCACATTGTACGTGTAAGTAAATTATGTTCTTTTCAACAGGCAATCTCTAATGACATTAATATAGGGCATTCATCGTAACCCCTTTGACATATAATTGAACTTTCTCATGCCATTTATATAGGAATACTGCTGGAACGTTAACATGCATACATGTAAAGGTCATGCTTTCATGCTGCCACCTCTCGGTCATAGTGGTGTCAAGGTCACTCTGATGAACGCATGTCAAAATCGCTCATAAGCTACATTCCGGTAATAACACAACTGTTAAAAGTCTGCTGAAAAGGTCAAGGTCATCAAGAGGATATAAGCCCTACTGTACTCCGCTACAAAAAGCTAGCCACTAGGGGTAATAGAGATCAGGCGAGAGATTCTAAACAGTTAACCTCAAGCACTTCATATTTAGATCAACCAGTGTAGAACATATCCTGTCTATTTTGATAAACGCAGAAGGCCGATTCACCACTATAGCCTCTTTTTACCCTGTCTTCATCTGGAGTATCAATAACCCGGCATTGCTTGAATACTTGGAATCGCATATTGTTACTTCATAATTTCAAGCTTACTATAGTCTGATGGGCGAAAACGATTGCATTTCACGAGGCGTTTTTATTGCATGGGTGGTGAGATATTGCCTGAAGATTCCTCATTAAATTTTCAATTCCACATTTTCCACTTAGCGTAAATGCTTATGACGTCAAACGAAAATGATACCTTATGTGTTAAGGAGAGATGCAAATTTATTTAATGTGCCTAGTCTTTTATATACGTGTAATAAACAATAAACTTGAGATCAAGAGTCTCCAGCCAATCACCAACTGTGGGCAGGGTGTACATACCCATTATCCATCTAAGTGGCTTCCATGTCACCACTACCCCTCCCCCCCCCCACCACCCCAATAAAAAATAAAAAATAATAATAATAAACAAATAAATAAAAATAAAAATTTAAAGAATTTTATACACACCATTTTGTCACGCAGAAACTGAAATATACATAATCTTGTCTCGGCTTCAGTAGTTGGCAAGTCCAACTGAGTTTGAAGAGGGTCTGCTAGCTCATTTGTATTGAAACTTACTAAGACAAATTGAACAGTTTTGTTCATAAATTATTTTCATTTTAGAGACGAGATGATAGTCTAGTCAGCCTATAGTCACTCTTCCCACAGTCCCGATCACAAGGATTACTATTCTGGAAAGGTCCCGCATTTCTTCCAACTGCAACAGGAGTTCATCATATGGGCGGAGACGCTTTTGCTGAACACATACTCAGCATGTCACACATTTTTCCATGAAACACTCATGGCAATAATTAGTTAATGACATGTAATTTGGCTAATTGACCGTGCATACTGATGCACTACATGGCCACAGTCAACGAACAAAATGTCATAAGTCGCACTGCCGTAATATCGCGCTTGTGTTCATTACTGCGTGATTTCAATCTTTTCCAAAGCTTACAACATTGCATTTCGTAAAAGTGTCCCATAATCGCCTTTGATTATATTTCTTGAAGCATTCTAATGCACTCTAATCCATCCTCGAAATTTTCGAATGCACGATTTTGAGTATACTGATATTTTTAACACATGCATAAGCTCAAGCACATGAACCCACAGACACACACATTCACACGTGCACACACATTCATACATACACACATACGTACACACGTAGACATGTTTACTTGTACACACATGCACACACGCAGGGACACACGGACGCGCTGACGCACACGCACACGCACACGCACACTGCCAGTAACAACGTGAACCTGACGAGTGAAGAAATCACACTAATAAAACGACCCAACAGTTGTTAAGTGATCGCCAAGATCCCATCGTTGGTCGGTACCCACTTCAAGTATGTGTCTATTAACTACAGGAAGAGAACATGACGCCAAGGAATCAGACTAAACCGGTTGAAATATGGGTCACATCGCTGAGAGTCAAAACCACTTAAACAAGCACTTGCATTAATATAACAGAAGAAACTAGAAATAAAAGGAAAGTCGTTTTACATTGTCAATCTGGTGAGTATTGACACAGTATTTTCGCGTTGTATTTATGGATACAATTGTTTACATTTGTAAAGATACCAAACTGTCTCTTTTCTGAGAGCACGCCTCCCTTCTCCGTGGAAACTCTTTGACGGTGTTTATGGTCTTCGTAACATCTGAACGTCAGGCCAGGGGACGGTGGTAGCCTAGTGGTTTAAACGTTCGCTCATCACGCCAAAGACCCGGGTTCGATTCCACAGATTGGTACCATGTGTGAAGCCCATTTCTGGTGTCCCCGTGATATTCCTGGAATACTGCTAAAGGCGGCGAAAAGCTCACGTATCTCTGTGGTGTACATTGTAGAAGCGAGTATATCTGTCTTTGTGTTACCTCCTGTGCTTCAGCTGTCCGCTGATAACAATACGAAGGGTTTCAAGAACCAAACAAGTACACACGAATCCTCTGTGAATAAAAGGAAATCAGACTGATATTGAAATCGTTAACATCATCATCATCATCATCATCATCATCAGTCATGTAGCAATATCTTCTGTCTGATCTGTGAAGGTTCGGGTTAGAATTGGTCTCCAGTAACCCATCCTTGTCGTAAGAGACGACTAACGGGATCGGGTAGTCAGGCTCGCTGACTTGGTTGACACATGCCATCGTATCCAGATTGCGTAGATCGATGCTGGTGCTCGGTGTTGATCACTGAATGGTCTGGTCCAGACTCGAATATTTACAGACCACCTCCATATTGCTGGAGTGTGGCGTAAAACGAACATCAGCGCAGCTTTAAACTCAATGCTTTAAATGAGTGATGCATAGTCTGTATCGTCTATGGAAGAGGTCCACTGTCACATATACTACACAATAGATGCCTCTTTGTTATCATAGAAGACACTCGGGTGGTAGCCTAGTCGTGAAAGCGTTTGCTCGTTACGCCGAAGACCCGGGTTCGATTCTCCACATGGGTGCACTGTGTGAAGCCCATTTCTGGTGTCCCCCGCCGTGATATTGGTGGAATACTGCTAAAGCGGCGTAAAACTAAACTCACTCACTCACTCACTAAAGGAGACACTAAATAAAAACAATGCTGATTTGATATATACCAAACTTGCATATTTCTGTCTCATAGGTTGATTTGTTTGTACTAAATTATCATATATATCGTTAACAGCGACAGCTAATAAAACAAGAAGTGTTATGACCGTTAATCGTTCCTTTCTAAGTGCATTTACTTTAGATGAAGACAAACGTTTTGGATGAACAACTTTACTATTCAGGTGATGCGACGTTTCGATATAGATTCTTCTAGCGTTACCAAGCAGGTACAACGATACAAGTGAGTATGGTTTTACGCCGCTTTTAGCAATATTCCAGCAATATGACACCAGAAATGGGCTTTACACATTGTAATTATGTGGGGAATCAAACCCGGGTCTTCGGCATGACGAGCCACCGCTTTAACCACTAAGCTACCCCACCGCCCTTAAAGAATCTGTATCGAAAAGTCGCATCACTTGAATAAAGAAGTTGTTCACTCGTAAAGTTTGTCCTTCTCTGACTTTCCATGTACTAAAAGTGCCAGTCAAACAAGCATTTGATATACAGGTTACAATCTGCACTGCGGCTCCATGCAACCCAACACCGTGCACGCAACAGCTGTGGTGGTGTGGGTAGACAGCAGGAGTGTTGGAGAAGCTCCACCAACAGCATCTGAAATATCTCACAAACACGCACTTGAAAATAGCGGTAAGTAATCCACCCAAGACAGGCCTAATCCTCAGTGATGTTCCGCGTGTATTTAACCTGCTGCCACGAGTGCTTGGGGGAGCGATGAAGCAAGTTGATGAAGGTATGGCGGAGCTAGGCTGCCATCCAGACCCTGAAACAAATTTATCCAAGAAAGCCCATGCAAGTAGTCGAGAATGTGTGGCAAGTCTAGATTTCCACAGTTTCAGGGTGTCTGAAAATAAAGAAAGTCTCTGGGCTCCATTCTTCAATATTTTATGATTTAAGTTAACTGCTTTTTTCGGTTAAATATGTTCATTTCAGAGACTAGATGTTAGTCTGTGACGGAGCTTGTGATCGTGAATGGCTTGCGAACGTGCTTCAAGCAGGATATGCCGACATTTGTTGACGCTACCTTCTCAAATGGCATCACCTGTTCATAGATGGGGATGATGAGCATTATAAAAGGTTGAACTGTGGAACTGTGACAACAATCTGTCACAGACGGATGTCATCTCGCTGGTGGCCGGGTATCTGCACTTTCCTCGTGCATTGTAACCTGTATAGAGTCCCGTCCTTGCCACCGATATGTTGGAGTTTAAC